TTTGATTGCATGCAAATAATTAATTACAATTAAATAATCAAAGACTGGAAAAGGAGTCATTATAGTCAATAAAGTTCAGTTTACATTTGAACAATTAAATAAATAAATATTTTTTATTATTCTCTTACATTAAGTGTAACATAAATTCTATTATTATTCGAATGTTGTTTTTAAATTATGTCCAATGCTGTAGCATCTTCCGTGGACAACTTCACTCTGTTAATTTTGTGTCACAGTGCGCGCGCATCGTAAAATTTCACTCTCATCAATTTTTCATAACGCGCCTAAAGAAGTATAACTTCAAAAACTGTAGGAAACAAATAGCTACTGAAAACATTGCTAAGACTAGTAGCGCCACAATTTTTAAGATAAAAAGCTATCTACATATATAACAATACAAAATCAATCATGCAGCAGTAATTTTTCTTAATTTCAATATCCTAATACATACTGGCTGCCAGCCCTAATCATACCTGAAAAACAAAATGCGTCCGCCATGCGTGAATGTTTTGCCGTCTCCGTCACACTTATCACTAATTAGACACGAGTGACAGGGTGGCACGACAGTTTTCCATTTGCTAAAGGTGAACATTCCCAAGTTTTTGCAAAAGCTTCCATTTTGATCGAAACGGTATGGGTAATAAAATATAATGAATTAATTAATTTTTATTGCCTACTGTATGAAAACAATAAACATTCATAACGGCCTCTTACGTAAATAATAAATGTATGTAATGTATTGTCATTTAATTATTTTTCAAATCTATAATATAAAAATTCTTATATAAAAATTAATGAATCCTCTTTTGTCGAAATATTTCAGAACTTAATGAAACGTATGTAAGTACAATAAACTCAAATTTTATTGACTTACCTTAACACTTTGTACTATGTATTATAATAATAATAATAAAATAAATCAGTGGCGCTACAACCCTTTTAGGTCTTGGCCTCAGATTTCTGAATCTGTTTAATGATTTCAGATTTCTGATCATTTTAAAATCTGATAGGCAAGTAGGTGATCAGCCATCAGTGCCTGAAACACGCCGTCGACTTTTTGGGTCTAAGACATGTCGGTTTCCTTACGATGTTTTCCTTCGCCGTTCGAGCAAATGTTAAATGCGCACATAGAAAGAAAGTCCATTGATGCACAGGCGGGGATCGAACCTATGACCTCAGGTATGAGAGTCGCACGCTGAAGCCACTAGGCCAACACTGCTATTGTGGTATTATTAATAATAATAATACCACAGTAAAACATAACAAATACACGAAGAAAGTAGCCAACAGAATAAATAGAAGAGCTTATGTTTTGGTATTAAAGCAAGATTAGGAAGAGCAGAATACGACCAATACAGAGAAGGTTTTAATCAACTTTTAATAATCATAATAAGGCCTTTTTCCACATCCTTAAGTTCCATTTCAAATGTTGTTTACTTATAGCTAAATGTTAGAAGTAATATGTTAGTCGCCTGTGGATAGTCCTACTCTATATTTGCCTTAGGCCAGCCTTTTCCTGCTATTTCTTCCAAGAGATCAGCCCACCGTATTTTCGCCTGCCCACTTTTCTTTTCCCGTATGGTCCCTTTTTTGGTCCATATTTTGTCTAGGTATGTTACATGACCAGCCAATTGCCATTTTAGTTTCAAAGCGAGGGCATATATGAAAGCTGATATATTGAAATATAAAGGATTTCCTGAACTTGGAAGGATTCCTGCACTACCTATCAAATACTCAGAACGTAAAAGATATTCAGAAAGACGATGGTGTGGAACTTGGTCTTTATTTTCTTATGTATGAATCGGATAAATTTGGTTCAAAATGTGTCACAACTATTCTTTGTGATATAATTCAACTATCTTTCGTCTCCAGCTCCACAATAATTACTAGGTGTTTCTATTGACGAAAACCATAAATACTTCTTGATTCTTTAATCATGTTCATAGAGACAGACGCGGCCGGAGAAGTTCGTGTCCGTGTATGTTAAAACGAACGTAATGTAGAATATATTTAAAATTTATTTTCACATTTTTTTTTTAATTTAACTATCTATATTGATAACTTAATTTTATTTAACTAAGACTGATATAGTATAGTATATAGATATAGTAGTTCCATATACGTTGCACCATCATTGTGATCGTAAACAGTTGAAAGATAAAATATACAAGCAAAACCTAGTTTAGAAGTCTTGATCTTTTTTCTATGTTCTCATTAAAATTATTAAGTTGGCGAGTTAAAATCATTCAGTAATTAATTAAGTCCCTTATCAGCTGTAATTGGAAATAATAATGGAATGTAGACAGCAAAGAAACCAATTAACAGTCTGTCTATCGATACACAGTCTATGAACACACAGTACAGACTTATAAACTACAGATAAAAATTTATACAATAAGTTATATTATGATATAGTAGTTTTTTTTAACATTCGTTATAATATTAAACTACTAATTGTTATCTAAATACTAGTTGTTGTTTATGGAATATGTGCTTTTATTTTTTTTTATAATATTAAATAGGGTTTAAATAGAATATCAATTTTGTTTTTATTTTATAAAATGTATATCTGACTTCTTAAAAAATTGTTTTACAAATTACTATTTAGTTGCACAGCTAATTTAATATCTCTAACACTGAAAATTAATATGAATTAAATTTCCAATCTATTGATACCATAGACAAGTGATTGTATCTGTCGATTCGTCGAAAAATCAATAAAACATTGATCGGTGAAGCATCAATAATTTTATTTACCGGAAAATGCTTTTATTTTTTTATTCGTATTTAATTGGATACATTCACGATGATCTTAGTTACGGCCTGGTGCGCTGAAGATAATCTCTAATTTTTCATTCATATGGTTCGGGAAAAAGCATGGGGTACATTATATATTGTATGTTAAGATAATTCGTAGACGCTCATTGACTTTTGAGGATCGATACATATTAATATTTTTATATGCATAATTTGCTTTTTTATGTATTTTGTTGATTTTCTGTATATCCTTCAGTATTCACACTTCCGTCATTAATTTTCTTTTCAAATTTATTTGTTTATTTATTTGTCAAACAAAAATAATAACTCCATTGAATCTTGATGTTTCCATACTATACGAGGAATTCAGCTTCTTGAATTAATTATATTACATTCTTTAAGCCATACTTAGAACCTATTCAGGAATTGCATATACTATATGATATTTTTAGGGCGTAGGCTTAAGTAGGTAGGTACATTAACATTAATTCATATGCTTAAATTATATCGTTGTATATCTATCTTTATCTTGCTTAAGGCAGTAAAATTTGCCATTTAATAATGACATAGATTACAAACGATGATCAAAAAGCAACTCAAACGAACACAAATGTGCAATCCTCATAAATCCTACCAATTTAAAGCCTTAATAAGCATCTGCATAACGCATTCATCCACAGATTACAATAATCCAATTAAATTTAGACATTGACAACTAAATCCTATTAAGCATCAAAGAGCGCGCATAATTGGACGCCATTACGCGGTAGCGCAAATTGTCTATGGTCTGTCATCAAAACAAAATGGCGGTGCCGTACGCGCGGGAAAATAAATACGTTTCGAGATGGATATTATATCTTCATTAGCGTAGTGCATCGCATTGATACGTCTGCGGGTTCGGCCATTGAAATTGTTTGTATTTTATCACTCGCAATAGAGCCTTTTTGGTTTGTCTCACTATTGTATCGAAAGTTAACATCTGCTGTCAATGCTAGCGATATTTAATGGCAATATGAGTGGGAAACTCAGTTTTAAGAATATTGTAGGCTATTCAAATGTCTCATAGAATTTCAGTTAATATCGTTGGTAAGGTAATATGTAGTTGTTTATATTTAGTTGCATTAATACGAAACACTTTGGTAAGTATTCAAACAGCGTATTGACTGTTGGCCGAGTATTCAAAGGATAGAATATTATCTGTAGACACGTATAATGAAATAATACAGAATTGCTTAAGTATTACAACAAACACTTGCCAACCGGAATTGTCATATCGGATAAAATAGGTAAAAATTATTGGTCTGTGATTCAAATTGACAATGAGGTTATTGCCTCTACTTTAAATTAATAAAAATAATTACACTGTGGCAAAGACCATGTAAACAATAAACTAATGAATTTCTAAATGAACTATTAATAAAACTGATTAACATATTAAAGGGCTTGTATGAACTTAATGTTTGTGTGTTAATGCAGGTCAGGAAACATGTCAATGAACGGTAAATCAATGAATATATTAATATTAGTTATCTAAGCAATTTAAAGTAAAATAGACTTTATTAAATCAATTGCGAAAATTGCCATGCAAAAAATCTTCCGTGATATATATTATTTATTCCACATTCACAGATCATAAAAATTCGTAAAAAAGTTTGTATAGTTCAATTGTGGCATGTCACATCCTTAAAGGCAGAAAAGATTATGAAATAATACACTTTCGCCGTAAATATTGATTGCTTATATTGTTAGCGATATAACCGGATGTATCGATTTTGAATCTATATTGTTTTTGAATAGAATATTAACATCGAATCGAGGGACTGTATAATAACACGTGGACCTGTTTCCGGCGACCTAATTATATTAAAATCGATAGAAATACAAATGTGAATTATTTAATAAAATTATGTTTATGCGCAATTGAAGCGCCTAAGCTATGTCATTCATTTAATGGACTCTTTGTATGAGGTTTTTGCTCTTTGGTGCAAGGTTTAAATTTGAGACACATACTATACTATATTAAAAATTAAAAAGACTAATAAATATCAAACATTTCACAAAGAAATTTATCTAAATAAAGCACGCCCAACTAAGTTCGTAAGTAAATGGTCTTTGGTAGGTACGTTGGTACTACTGACGCTCTCGATTAGTTCTCAAGATTTCCAGATACACAGATATAAGCATAAATCTGAAACGTAATTTATAATATTTATTTCACGAATATCTGAAGTATAAATTGTACAATGGTAGTTTTCTTAGCAGCACCCACCGGCCCACCAGTGGTCAGATGCCAACTCCGGAAACACAAGCCGAACCGGAAGCCGCGTACACCCTTTACAACGCAGCAGCTTCTTGCGTTGGAGAAGAAGTTCAGAGACAAACAGTACCTGAGCATCGCGGAGAGAGCTGAGTTCTCTTCTTCGCTAAGACTAACGGAAACTCAGGTAATGCGAATTTAATCATCTCTTTGTAATCTCGTTGAAATTGTTTATGCTTTCTTCTACCTTCATCCGCTATTTTGCTTGTATTTTTTTCTTAAAAGGTTTTTTACGAGGTAAGAAAATACTAGTAAAATCTAAAATTAGAAGTGTAATATTTTTATTACATTTTTATTATTTTTACTTTTTAATTTTTTTGTAACATTTAAATAAATAAATAAAAACCTTGTTATCGTAATACATTATAACGTATATTAACGTTTAGGGAGTAAACCTTAACAAGTAAATTATTTATTATGAACACACACTTTTATTACAAACATTATACAGACACATCTTAATAAATGTAAAATTTAAGTAATAATTTTTATACTTGAAGGGATAATTATGTTAATTTATGTGAGTAGAATATCCGGTAAAATTATATTCATAAAATGCATTCATTGAAATACTTAGAGGCATTCTCACGTATTTAATTGATTTAGAGATTTTAATTAAAATAATAAAATTATAATAAATAAATCAGTAGCACTGAAACCTTTTTTTAGGACTGGGCCTCAGATTTCTGTATCTGTTTCATGATCATTTGGCAATCTAATAGGCAAGTAGGTGACAATCTCCTTCGACTTTTTGGGTCTAAGGCAAACCGCTTTTTTCAGGATGTTTTCCTTCACAGTTCGAGCTGATGTTAAATGCTCACATAGAAATAAAGTCTATTGTTGCACAGCTAGGGATCGAACCTACGACCTCAGGGATGAGTGTCGGACGCCGAAGCTCTCCTCTAGTTAAATAATACTCAAATTTAAATTGCACCTATCTATAATAAGACTAAGACTAAACATTTATTAAAAAACTTAATAACAGCACATACCGTAGCAACTTACTTAACTAAAGAGTAAATTAGAAGACTTTTACAGTAGAGTTTATTTTTGTAATCCTTACGTCACTCTTTCCAGGTAAAAATATGGTTTCAAAATCGCCGAGCAAAAGCGAAACGACTGCAAGAGGCTGAGATTGAAAAGCTCAGGCTTTCTGCGAGACCGTTGCTACCACCTTCCTTCGCGTTGTTCGGGGGTGGGGGAGCTCCCCCCCTATTTGCAGCGATGGCCGCAGCCACAAGACCCCAACTAAGTTTCTTAGGGGGACCCCCATCTCACCAACACGCCATTAATATGAATATCCTGAATTCCTTGCAACCGCATTGACATTCAGAACACGCGAATACGCGTGAACATCCGCCATCTTGAACTGGCGGGAAATGGACATTTTGAATTTGGAGACTTGTGACAAAATAATCTGTAGGAATGATTGTGTTTTAAAAAATGATTTATTCTTTATTTAAATTTATTTGTAATATACACACACTAAACAGCGCAAACCCTACCATTATACCTACTTAATAAACAAGAACGAAAGTAAAAATTAGGAGAAAATAATTTTTAAAAAAATTCTACGGATACTCACTTTGTGTTAAAATACACAAAACTTGCCCAGTAATGGTATGAATAACATAAAATTAATAATAAAAAAGAAATCTCAATATATTAAATCATAAATGGTAGCTTAGATATTTAATATAGTCTTCCTATTTTAAATTCCTGAGTATCGTAAAGACTTCCATTAAAATATTTTTAATATTTCCAATTCCATTATTAATTGGCCTAAAAATTTAAAAATTCTTTGTATGTTAGTACAATTGTGAGTCAATAATAATAAATATTTACATTAACAATTTTATTATATAAGTTAGAATTGTCTATTAACAGATAATAGTCAAAATAGTCTATTGTGAAAAACAATGCAATCCGGCTTGAGCGAGAAAAATGTCGATATTATGAAAAACGTTACCGACTCGATACAAATGTATGAATTTCGTAAATTTTCTTGCTCTTTTAATTTATACGATGTTTACACATTATCAATATTTCTTGTTAAAACTTAACAACAAAAATAAATATGTTATATGATCATTGTAAATACATTTAGCCATACTATGCATAGTATATTTAAATTATAGGTATTTTAAGGAATATTTAGTGTTTGGAAGACGATGGAAATTTTATTTACTGTACAACGATATTTTGATTTGATGAAAATTAAAAAAGTTTTAATGAATATTGTATCATAGATTCAAGAGTCCTAATACAAAAAGTGAATTTCGTCGAAACATATAATTATTTCAAAATCTGTTCTTAATTTGAAACTAAATAAATTCAAAGTGCGTCGACACGCTTCCAAATTTAAACCGCATAACCGATTGTGGTCTAGTGTTAAGAACTGAAAAAAATATTTTTTTGTAAAATTTTTAAATCATTGTTCTTAATTTAAATATTGTAAACAGCTTACATAAATCTATAATCTGTGGAAATTTTTTAACATTTATAGTATTCGAATAACTGAGCCAATATTAATTAGATATTTTGTTCTGCACTGTATTTGGCTAATTAGGGCTTTTGTACAAAAATTACATTGATTTGATAGCAAAATTATTGTAAATATTTAATTTATTCTATAGGTACGTAAGATGTTAGAATAGATTTTTTAATGATTAAATTGCGGTAGGTATCCTGTTACATAGAGTTAAACTGTAAAATATCTTTGTTTTCTTTACGATAATGAAACATATGATAGTGAAAATAAAACGAAGTTAAAATTTATGATTGTTTTATTAAATTGCTACACAATGTTGATGTAGTTGATAGTTTTATCCCAAAAACACGGCACGGGTTGATAAAACTATAGTGAAACATAGTATTACTACATATTATAAAATATAATAAAACAGACGTAGAAACTCCTACTTTAAAAGCTCTGCCCTTTAGCACTGCAGTAGCTCAATAAAGGTCAAATGACGACGACTAACTATGGGGACGCCACAGACCTTACATGGTAGGTAAGTTCTTTTCTTAAAGAAGGCGTTCGAGTCCGTTATAAGGGCGCGGTATTTATTCCTCTTTTAAGCAGTCAACGTCACGTGAAATGGCGGGCCCTAGATCCCGCAATACTCGTATATAAAAGCTAATTTGGTACCTATGTGTTTTTTGACAGTCAATATAGAAAAAGCGGATATAACGACAATATAGAAATACCGAACTATGTATTTTTTATTTTTTTATAGTTTGTACTAATAAACAATAAGCTACAAGCTTCCACCTTTTCAGAATGCCAAATCATAAAATGACTGCTTCACGACTGATTTCAGAGCGACCGCCGTTGCGAAAACCGCTGAGTGAGTTCAAAAAGTGAGTTACAGAATCGCAGGGCTGACCTCAGATTTCTGTAGGGGATAAGCCGGATAGTTGCCCCACTTTTCAAAAGCTTTATATTTTTTAAATATGAACTTGCTGAAAATTATTCAGTATGTACCTCGCAACATAGGTCTTTTATCTTCTATAAAAGCCTATTTTTGTATACATAATTAACAATGGTTTTGAATAAATACCGTTTTATTTCACCTCTCAGAAAAGGGATAGTTGCCTACTATGGCGGATAGTAGCCTAGCGTAGATAATGCTTCGGGGGATACTTGCCTCGTGCGTTTTTATTTTGGATAGAAAGAAATTTATATCAAATAGAGTAATCTTTATTATTTTATTATTTATTTAATTATTAATTATTTTATTTGTCTCAATTTTTCGAAGGCAAGTGCTAAGCTATCTTCTGCCCAGTTGATGTTGATGAGGCTTTTGCTTATCTATAATAAATATATAAAACTGTGAAGTAGATATTTATTTAATTTACAACAAGTTAGAGACAAAGTAAATTCGAATAAACATCAAAAAAACAGCAGAAAAATAAAATCCGTCTTTGCTTGTTAAGAAATTTTTTAGTCACTCTAGGGGCAACTATCCGCGACAGTAAGTAGGGCAACTATCCTTTTTGATGCGGATACTTGCCCTTTTTATTTGCGAAATAAATAAAAATTATTTAGCAATAAAACATGATAAACAGTGTAATTTAAACTCTAATGCATGCAAAGAAACAAAAAGTTGACTGAAACCACGATCAGTAATAAAAATATTCAATAGAAATTACTTACCAATATACTTATAACGCCCGTCAACGTTTCGCCGCGGAAGATTTTTGCTCACACGGACAAAACACTTGGGCCTATTCCGATGGCTTACGTGGCATTTAGGCCTGAGGGGCAGTCACTACTTATTGTAGTAAAGCGCCAATACAACTTATAATCCTAACATAGTTTTTTAAACACCGGGGCATGTATCCGTCCGAGGCAACTATCCGGCTTTTACCCTATAAATAATTTTTCTCCAAGCAAGTTGATCAGACTTCTGTGACGGCGATTTTTTTATAGAACAAGGGCAAACGGGCTGGACGCTCACTCGTTGTTAAGCGATAACATGGAAACTGATAGTGTCAGAAGGTTCGCAAGTACGATGCCGGCCTTTTAGGAATTGGCACGCTTTGAAGGAAGTGTAATTGGTTGTCTAATACTTCAGTGGGTAGCTGGTTCCTCATGGTGGTGGTGCGTGGCAAAACTGTCTCAATAATACTGAGTTGTGGAACAATCACACGATCTTCGGGTGTACGACGTTCCTCTCTATTTCTTCACCGTACGAATATTATTTCTGTACGTAGAAAGCAGGATCCATCGGTAAATAGCATGTCTTAATACGCCCCCATGAGGAAAATAGCGTTGACCCACTCGGCTAAATCTACCTACCAGGATGAGTAATCTGTAATATTATTGGTATGCAAAACTCAAATAATTAGTTGTTCCCTATATATTTCCTACATTGAGTTTTTTGTCCGAAGACAAAGTTATGTAAGACCATACGATTAATATTAAAACTGACATTTTCTTCCAGTATTTTTAATAACCAATAAAGTAGCCCTTATGAATGGCATCGAAATAGCATTAATTGCCATATTACAGTCCAATTAAGAACGCAATTATTATGATAACCGGCACAAAAGCTTATGTCAAATAAAAAACAGCTAATGTACTATCAGCAAATGAGGTTAAAAAAATTGTTTACAACGATTCAATATTCCCACCCTTATGAAGTCCGTTATATACCCTTTAACGTAACCAAATGTACTTATATTTATACCTATTAATAATCTTATTTTTGCGTTTTATTAAATCGCCATTCTGATTTAGAATAAGGTTAAAATGCCTGCTAAAAGCACGGGAAATGTCTGGTGAAACAAAGCAATTTTTATTCAAACGCAATACGGGTTTTAGTAGCAATAATTCCTTTAAATGTAACCAAATAAAACTTATTGATTTTGTCTTGAATTTATTATAGAATAGAACGTTATTTTTGCTTTTTTTCATACCCTTCAAATTCTAAACAGATCGTTCTTCTTTTCAAGTTTTTCATAGAAAATTAATCTATTATATTATTAGACCCTTTTTTATCCTAATTCTACTGACCCCAAGCGTAACAACAAGCGAATGAAGGCATCTGGTACCGCACTTTTGCTGATAGTACAAGTTTACCGTCGTTACCCAACTAATTGGTGTTGCCAGTGAAAAAACTTCGCCTCGTTCAATGTTAATTCGCCTTAATGCACAGATTTGTATTCTGCGTCGAACGGAACGCTGACAACTGTCATTAATTACTCATTTATTTATTTACCAAAACGTTTATATACACAGTAATTTATTATAATTGATTTTATAGCCGACTTTGGCCTCTGCAGTTAATTTTTTACTTACTCGACCTTTTTAGGGTCAAACTTGAATTTTTACATTTTATTAACAGAACGGGTGGTATTTTTTTATGTCTGATGTTGTGAGGGGTTGGTTTTTCTTAAATAACAATATTGTTATTTATAGTTTGGCTTTTTACTGCGGACGGACGGATGCAAAAATTATACATCATTAAAAATCTTACAGGATACCTGATTAAAACTTACCTATTTAAAGAAAACACTTTTTTAACGGATTGATGTTATGTATTTTTATAAATTTACAATTATTTGACATAATGCCTGTTATATTAATTCAATCCGGTAAAAAAGTGTTTTCATTAAATGTGTAAAAGTTATGTCAATAAAAGACATTACTATAAAACGTACCTACCCCAATTTTACAATCTAAAAATAATTAGAAATTACCCGTATTACTGTAAAACATGCAACAGTAAGGCTGCAGTCATTTTAATATAAGCTTAAGTTATTCTTCTTATTTTTGTGCCTCTCCATTACTGGGGGTTGGCCATTGTTCTCGTGAAGAG